CGACGGGCTCATGGAGCTTCTCATCATGATCCATGCTTGTCGCACGGCTTCTGCTCGTCGCATCACCGCTGTGATTCCTTCATTTCCCTACGCAAGGCAAGATAAAAAGGACAAATCTCGCGCTCCCATCAGCGCCAAGCTCATTGCAAACATGCTGCAAGTATCTGGTTGCGTAAGTTGCGCTGCATTTTTGTTGTTCTTCTCCTTTCCTCAATCTACGCATATGTTTTTTTATTTGATGCGATACTGACATTTGACTACTGACCATCTTTTCTTTCAACAGAACCATGTCATCACTATGGACTTGCATGCCTCGCAAATCCAGGGTTTCTTCAATGTCCCAGTGGACAATCTCTACGCGGAGCCTTCCGTCCTCCGCTGGATCCGGGACAACCTTGAATCAGAAAACTGTGTTATTGTGTCTCCCGATGCCGGTGGTGCCAAGCGAGCTACTGCCATTGCTGACCGCTTGAATGTCGGCTTTGCTCTGATTCACAAGGAACGTCCTCGCCCCAATGTCGTCGGTCGGATGGTTCTTGTTGGAGACGTTCAAGACAAGGTGGCCATTCTAGTCGACGACATGGCTGATACCTGTGGAACAGTATGTTGATCCCACCACCGCGTTCTGAAAGAACACACTCCTATCAGGACTCACCAGAAGAGAGAAACCCAAACTCACCATGATTTGTTTTTAGCTCGTCAAGGCCGCAGAGACTGTCAACCAGCACGGTGCCAAACAAGTCTATGCTATAGTCACTCATGGCATTCTCAGCGGCAAGGCTATTGAAAACATCAACGCATCCTGCCTGGCGGGCTTGGTCGTTACCAATAGTATGTAATGACGGAAGGGTCCCCGTTATCCCTGAACGTGTCTTATTAACACACTTGCTAGCTGTTCCTCTCGGTGACAAGACAGAGAGATGTCCTAAACTCAAGGTGATTGATGTATCGGCTACACTGGCAGAGGTATGTGCAATGTGCCATTAGTTTGATTTGCTCAACTGGCTGTTCCTCACACTAATTCAATCTCGTGAAAAGGCTATCCGCCGTACTCATAATGGTGAATCGGTTTCTTACCTGTTTACGAACGCTCCTGTTTGAAAGCGCTTATCAATTTGATCTATTAGCTGGTTTTTTCTTAAAAGAAATTGGCGTCGGTAAGGCAGTAACTACCTACAATGTTTCGGGTAAAACCTTTGAGTCTTTTATGGCACTAACTCAAGGGTAGAATCTGGATAATGAGTTTATTAGTGATGCTTTTTTTTTGTATGAAGCTTTTTTTTGCACTTGGAAGTAGCGCATCAGTTCTTGATTTTCTCGACCGCTGAGATCAAATCAATAAAACTTTACTGCACATGTCAATGATTCTGGGGAAACACGACCTGCTACCGTCTTGCATATCAATGCTAAGCAGACTGCATCTGAATCAAGTACCAGACTCGAGCACTTTGCTGCAGATACGTACGCACATGTGTCTTTCTGATGCCACGGTGAGAATAGCTACCTGGTGCGGAGCACTGAGCACTTCAAGTCCCAGCCAGCCAGCCAGTATGGTCCAGCTGGAGCACTCTCGAGACGCCAGACGTACGTGCAGACGACGAGCTGCAACAGTAGTACCCTGCCCGTACCGGTTCTTGCTAAAGCCCTGGTGTCTGGTCTGAATACCCTCATCGGCAGATAACAAGATGCCCAACAGGCGCCGAGGGGCCTCTGATTCTAACACCAAAATGGGATCGTGGAGGAATAGTATCCTGATATAGTGCCCTGGTATGCATGGGCAGGTTGCCCGGGTACATTAAAAAAATGATATTCCAAACACTCAGAAAGAGAGAATAGCTTCCATGTAGTACACCCTCGGCGCGTAACATCCATCTTTGCTGATTTCATGAAAGCATATCGGAAAAGCCTGTTTGCGCAAAGGATATGTATTTTTGCGAGGCTTTTTCCCCCGCCTAACATGTGCATGTGCGGACTGAATGAATTACAGATCTACTGAGCTACGAGGGGTAGAACAAAAAGAAGGGACGGGAAAAGATGATATCATAAATAAGGTTAAATTTAAGCCCAACTTATTCCGGAAGCAGAAGAACTGAAATATACCGAGGGGCATGGCGGAGGTATTTTGGCTCACGGCTAGTAGTCTTTCATTTGGAGCAGGAGAATCCCTACTCTGAAACGCTGAACTATTTTGAGTTTTTCCCACGGCTACTCTTATCTAGTTAACGTTGCTATTCGAGGCTGTGTCTCGTAGCCCATGGCTGTATGCACTATTTCTGCGAAGTGTAGGAAGTCATTTTATCTCATACCCATATGTAATAATATACATATATAGATATATAGAGACATATACATACTACATACATACATACATATATATATATATATATATATATATATACAATGATATAGACACACACACACTTATTATCATAGTTTGAAACCCCTTATTATAAAAGCTAAGATGGTAGATCCTAAAACGCGCACAAGCGCATAACTAAGCGATTTTTTACCCAAAGTCTCGCTGCATGAAAAGAACAAAGTCGGGCTTCCGAGTGAGCTCTCCTCTCATCAGTGCGGATAGAACCCCGGTGTCCCCATCGTCCTTATATTCCTAGCTTTCTTTTGCTCCTCTCGGGATTTTTTAGTATTGGTGTTTGGTGGAAGAAATTGAACGGCCAATTCACTTGTACTCATAAACGAGGGGCTCAACACAGGTTATCGATTCATCCTTATGCTTCGGGCCGGCCTCTCGCTGCACAGACCGGTCGTGCGAAGGCGTACCAGGCCAGGCATGCCGTCAGTGCTTCTTGATCCCCTCGATATTCGGTACAAATTTGCGCTCCGTGCTCCGTGCCCTGGACGCGTAACAGTAGGGACATAGTACCACGCTCTGCGTAAAGAGCCAATCATATTAGGAACACACTTCGTCCCTACGGGAATGCAGCAACATGGATACAGAGAATCATGACTTATGGGCGGTCTTTTCTCCTTGAAAGGAATTGAGCTTGGGTGTTCTTATTGTCTCGCCTTGATGGTAGCGCATGTAATGAGAACTTGGCATCGCTTTCGCCTTTTCGCCTTCAACCACCTCTCCCCCTCCCCTTCCCCCTGCCTCGTCCTCGTCCTCTGCCCCGTCCCCCTCCTCGACCGCCTTTCCTGCCACCGCGACCACCGTTTCGGTAGTCAAACCTCTCAAATAGGGGCTCCTCGCCAAATGCCCCTTCGCCAAATCGCATAAAGTTGACCAGTCCCCTGTCCACAACAGCCACAAGCACGTTTCTGTAGCCGTGTTTGAGCCGCTGATACATTCTCCCCGGGCCTTGCCACGCTGTATTGGGTGGGTCAAATGGTGTGGATTCCAGCAGTGCCTCGATCTGCTCCAAGGTGGGCACGGTCGACTCGGCGGTGTCACAGACGGCGATGCGGAAATCGGGCGGAGGCGGGTTCTTCTTGGAGAAGGGCGCGCCGGTGCCTCTCCAGACATGGTAGTGCACGCGGAAAGGCTCTCGGACCTGCTTTGGCGTCGGAGTGGCTGATGGCCTATGCCGCGGGAGTAATGCCAGCTGCTGATAGATGGGGCGATAGGCTCTATAGAGGCCCGGCGACACGATGGGGCCGAACGGTTTATGCTGCGGCGGCTCGCGCTGCCAGGGGATGATTGAAAAGAGCCATTCCCATAATGATGAGCTCCATGGCGCCGACGAGTCCGAGACTCGACACAAAGAAGCGTCGTTTGACGGGGCGCGCATGACGTGGAATCCCGCACGTTTGAGGTGCGTATATACCTGGAACTTGGGCAACGTTACCTTGCCGCGCTCCCCCTCGTATCCAATGAGGAATGAATATGCTGCTTCCAAGCTGAGCGGTAATCCGGCGTCGTAGTCATCGGGACCAAACGGATTCCGTCCTGGTATGCCGTCCGTAACTCTGGGCAATAACTCCTCAAACTCCTTATCCGGCCACCATATGTCCACGGTGCCCCGTTCAATCAGGTACAGGGCCTCCTCTGGTAAAAGCCATAATCGCCCAACCCCCAGCTGATCTTTGCTGCCCGAGACGGCTCGCCCGATATCTCGCATCCAGTTTCCGCGCTCGTGTTCCATGACGACGACGCGGTCCTGAAGCAAGGCGTCGTCCGACTTGCTGGCTGGGGAGTTTGAAACCCACCAGTCCGGGAAGTACCAGGCTCGAAGCCATGTTTCTATTCGATGCACTCTCGTGTAGCTAAGAACCTCTTCCAAAGCCGTGCGACTTGCTTCGAGTGTGTTGTCCTGGGCTTGTGTTCCATGAGATTCAAAGTCCTTTTCGCCCTTGCGGATAACTTTGCTGGACACGCCCTTCTTGCTAAACATGGAGGTAAAGAGCTTGAAGTCGGGGATTTCATCTTCTAGGGCCTCTTCCGCGGTGAGTCCGCCTTCCTGTGTCGCTGGACCCTGGGCGGCGTCGCGGGTGGGATTGTCGTCGTCGTCGAAGGGCATGGTGGTTGGTGATGCTGCTCGCCCGTGACACGCACTCAGCGAGCTTCGCGGGATACCACCCGAAGGAGCGATGAGGAACTATCGAGAGGCTCTGTCTTGTCGCGATTTGAGCGTGCAACAAGGAGGTAGCGAGGTGCTTCTCTTTGAATAGACCTTAGTGCCAGAAGATAGAACGAGCCGCGAGTGAGATTTCCACGCCCTTTGTTTTATACTTTTCTCACGTTGAGGCGCAATCTTTGAATGCCACGGGATTTTCTTCGGTGGATCGAGTTCGCGTCCCTCAGCACCTGTGCGACGCTGACAGAGCTGGAAGATTGATGGGTGCTGTTGCAGTAGTTCGGGATGGAGCAACTCTTGAACATGAAGTTGAGATTGAGTTCAGATAAGGCATGGGATAAGAAAGTGGAGTCTTGATAGAAGGATTATTTGTTCCATGAGTTCTAACATGAAATAGTCGTGAATAGATTTTGTACTCAGAATTATAAGTTGGTAAATTGTTGAGTCATCAGTCATCTGACGAGTGCGAGTCTGGCCGAGTGGTTAAGGCGTTGTGTTTAGGTAATCCTACAAGGATACACTTGAACCGCAATGGGTCCGCCCGCGTAGGTTCGATCCCTACGGCTCGCAATTCTTTTTATCTTTCAGAGACACCCTCCTATATTTTTTGCCCACCATTTTGCTTATTCCTGGAACCTATCACATTGTTTCATAATGCAGTGTCTCACTCATGCTTTTACCTCTAACAGAAGCGAAACCCGTAGAGGGACAGGCAGGGTATGCCGAGGAGAGCCTGTCTTCATAAGCCGCTTTATTTTGCCATTTCCAAAGTTGGGGGCCAACCAAGTAGTAGATAAATCATCAGTGGCGTCCAGGGATGCCATGGGGCCGTAACGGACAATGCATGTCCTCGATGCGATGCAACCGTCATGGCAATGGCCGTGGCTCGTTCCAACACGACATTCGCTCATACATACTACATACCGCGCATCTGTACATGTGCATGCGATGCAAGAGGACAAGCCACGGCCATTGTGCGCGCCATCTGAGGTTCATCCCGAGCCTTCGGTTCGTTCCAGACACACAAAGCAGTCATGGCCCTGTCTCCTGGTTGCAGGCACGCCCAGAGGGTTCATTGCCGGGATGTGCCACGTAGTCGTGCCCATTGGCTTCCAATCTGTTTAAGACAGCAGCCGCCTTGCCTCGGAGTAGGTAGGGACTGTGGCTGGACGACGTACGTATGTCGTGCGTCGTTGCAAATCGCGAATGGGGGATGCGAGATAGGAGAGGGTATGGCGAATCGCCTGGACCAGCCAGCGGTCGAGGCGAGAGCGTCTAACGATGGTCGATGATTATCGGCAATTCTGCATGTGCACGCACAAACCAACAGCACGTCCGACGCTTGCGTGGCCGTCTTGTCGTGCCAACATCTGGCTGCGTTTTTATCGCGGTCTGGAGCTTCCCTGGTTGTCCGCGAGATGCTGTCTGGTCTATTCGTCCGCACGAGGAGGAGAGTCGTCGCTGCCCTCGCGTGCCTGCCTGCTTGCCTTGCCCACCTGCCTGCCTGCCTGCCGACTGTCTGTCCGGTCGTGCCTGCATGCATGTGCCTTCCTCGTCTCCCAAGCTCTCCGCTGCCAGACCCACTCCAGCTGCCCCAAATCCCTACGATAGCCCGTCGACGTAGGACCGCCCTCCGACAACCACTTGGTGGTGTCGTCAGCGAGGCTGACCTCGACATCAACCTCAACCTGGATCTCGAACTCGATATCGGCAGCGGAATTGATAGCAAAAGTGGCATTTCCCCCACCCTCGAACTCGACAGCTGCACATCGCCTTCCTTCATGACGACTTTGGCCGCAGTCGACGGTTCCAAACCTCTACGCAAACAGTCGCCGCCGCCGTCTACACTTGCCGTCACCGCCAACTTCGTCGTGCTGGCGGGACCAACAACACCACCATGGCCTCAGCGCCAGCCAACGTGAGGGTTTCCGGGCCCCCAAACAGCGGCTTTCTCGTCGGATATCCCGGCATCTCGGCAACTCTGGTACGTATTTCCTTTACCGAGTATACTGTGCTTCTGTGCTTCACTGTTGCATCTTGGTGTGCAATGACACCAAATGCATGAGAAACAAGTAACCCCCTCTGCCGCCGCGCGCGACTCCAAGTGCCTCTACTAACCAAAGAATACTGGCGTGCTCATTTCCAACAGCCTCGAATCGAAGGCAAGGTCGAAATTCGACCCGGTCAAGGGTTTTCATTGCCTGTACCAGTGTCACTAGTCCGGATATGCTTGCAAAGAAGAGAAACCATCCACCCCGATGCCGACAGCCTGACGAAGCGACATCTTGGTACACCGCGAAAGGAGGCCGTCGAAGTCGTTGGCAAAGAAGTTCTGCTCTTCCGGTGTGCGACAGGAAAAGAAGCCGAAAGTGTCATTGCAATGGATCTACCGTTTGTTCTGTTCATACCGTTTGGGCGCGGCGGAGAGGAATCGAATCGCAGGATACCACCGGCGTCGCTACAGCTTCCGAGCAGGACAGCAGAAACCCTCTACGAACTCGTCGTCACGGTACAACAAGGCCACAGCAGCCAATACAAGCACAGTTTTCCCATTCCCCTACAGCGTTATGACACGCTATCCACCTTTGGCATGTACAACAAGCCAGAGACCAAGCTCATCACCTCGGACAATCTCGTTAATCTCGGAATCAACCTGCCCCGATGGAGCTACGGACCTGGCGATCCGATCACGATCTACATCAAACTATCGCCAAACCCCGACTGGTTTCGCAAAGCAAAACGAGTGAACATAGAAAAGATTCATCTGACGATAGAGGAAGAAATCACATACAATCCCGAAGGAGACGAGCCGGTCAAGAAAATCAACAAGTTGTCAAAGCAAGTGCAGGTTGTCAAGATGAAAATTCCTGAAGCTGGCTATGCCACGAATATCGGACTCGTCTTTCCTTCCAAAGACTTGAGAGACGCAGACGGGATTGTGAAGAGAGGCAAACCAGCCTTTCCGACGTACGAGGTTCCGTCTTTTACCACCACCTCGTCACTCTACAAGATTGATTTCTACTTGAACGTCAAGGTATTTTCTTCTCGTCTTTTTATGGTCTTTTTTTAGACGAAATGGAAGTTTGTTGACATTCATGAGCAGGTCCAACTCAGTGGCGCTCGCGATGTAAACTTACGACAACCCATTGTAATATGTCCTTTGGATCAGCAAGCCTGCAAGGAAGAAATGGACGCCATTGAGCAAGCCGCCAAAGATGCGTCTACTATTGATCCAAACAATCCCATGCTGCCGGCTAGAACCATCATCTTAGCAAGCGATCGAGACTCCCTACGAGCTCTTGGACTGTGCATTGTGGGAGGCCAGAAGAAACCATTTATAGATTAACACCGCTTGTAGTGAACCACAAACAAAGCATCACCCTGAGTCATATCGAGTCATCATGACAACGGAATCTTGACGACAGAGACAAAGTCTTGAGTTATCTTCAGCTACGGCCATGAGACGCCGGAGCCGGATGACGGAACAACCATAACCTACCAGACACTTATTACACCATGCGTTGCCCTTGAAAGGAGGTCCAAATGGCATAGCCGAATGTGCAAGCCAAGAAGAGGCCGTGGCAGGGGGCCACGAAAAGGGGCCACGAAAGGAAGCTACAAAATGAGGGGAAAGGGAACCACTGAACCTCGCGCAGTGAGGGGACCCATGTCCTTGAAGAAGGCGTCATCAACTTCTTGTTTTACCAATTGAATGTGATTTAGCGAACGGCGGATTCTGAATTTTGTATCTGGATTTCTTTGTCAAGGCATCAAGGTTTGGCGTTGTTGCAGAATCTGGGCTGGCTACGTGAATATGCAGTGATGACGGTGTCTTTTCCTTTCCTTTCCTTTCTCTTTTTTCTTTTGTTCTTTATTATTTTATTTTATTTTCTGTTTTCTTTTTTTCGAAATTCAGAACCTAGGGAATTTCTGGAGGGGATCCGGGGCGTATTCGGATTTGATCAGTAATTTGTACTCAACGCCGTCCAGATGAGCGCCATGTCTTGTTAGAAGCTCGAGATGATTTCGAGGTGGAAAGTGGCTGGAACATGGCAGTTGACCAAAAGAGTATCAAAAACCACGAGTGCATTGTGATTCATCGGTGCCAGACGGTGTCTTCAAATTTTGTCCGTCTGGTTGTTGGTTCATGTTGAGTTGAATCTGCGGAGAAATGGCCCGTGCGCCACACAACACAAGCTTGACTTGGGTGTTCCTTGCAGCCAGCCAGACAGAATACCTTTAAAGTACCTGCTAGGGTTCTTCTCACCTGCGTACCACGGCCAGATACATGCAAGGACATACGCGAGCACGCGGGGCGACTGATAGCGCACATGCACCAGCACAATACCAGTGACGTGACGAGCCAGATAATCGGAACGCGCGAGCGGATCTGGCCAGCTGTGCCCGCGTGGGCCCCAGCCAGTCGTGCTCCAGTCCTCCCTCTCTCTGCTGCGTGTGCGCTCCCCCTTTCTGAGGAAGTGTCTCGTGTCCAAGCATCCAAGACAGTTGACGACATTGTCCGAGTTCATCGAGGCGGCTGATGAGCAAAAGCTGCTGCTGACGAAGAAACTGCGACCAGCCCCCCCCCCCCCCCCCCCCCCCCTTTACCGTCGCCATTGTATTTTCTCCTTCTGGCCTCGAGATTGTTGTCGCTTTCGTCGAGCCTTGTTTCGCTTCGTCATGCGGACCGCGTGCCTGGTGCCGCTTGCGCTTGCGCTGATCGAGCTTGTCGCTGCTCATGGCAGTCATGGCCAGAAACCCATTGTTGGCAGTGATGCCACGTGGATGGACAGGCATATGGCCGGTAATGTCTGCCCGGGGGAGAGAAGACGAAGAATAAAAAGAAGATGAAGATGAAGATAAAAAAAAAGATAAAAAAAAAAATGAAGACAAAAAAACTCGCCCGTTTCTGCGCACGTACTGACATCCAAAACCCCCTCTCCCCCGATAGAGGAACACCACATCGACGCCTGGGACGCAGGCTCCTTCTTCGCCCTCCACGACTACAACTCAGACGGCCTGTGGCAGGGCGACGAAATCATGCGCACGTACGGCCTCATGGACCCATCCAACAAGGACCTATCGACGGAAAAGAAACAACAAGTCCTGCCGCAGATCCTGCGCCTGCTCGACGCCAACCACGACGGCGTGGTCACGCACGACGAGTTCATCGACTTCCTGTCCCGGGGCGAGACGCTACCGGACCTGGGCACGGGGCCGGGCCACCACGGCGACGACGAGTACGAGTACGAGATACACCACTGGGAGAAGTACCACGATGAGAACACGAAGCTGGAGGACCTGACGCATCCTGAGGATATTGCGCATTTCAAGCACCATGAGGAGATGGAGAGGAGGGAGGAGGAGCAGGCGCGGAGGGATAGGGTCATGGTCGTGGAGGAGAACATTCCGGCCAAGTTTAGGAGGACGTAGTGGTGATGGAGTGGGGGTTGAGCTACGGAGATAAAATTTCTCGGGGGGGGGTTATGGGAGGAAGAGTAGATTATGGAATGTGGCTGAGTGGAGTTGTGTTCTGGGATGTTCCATTGGCGTATATGGTTGTTCTTTTT